TTATATTATATATCATAATTATATAAAATATTATATTATATTATATTAATTATATTGACATATAAAATATCAATATTATATATAATATAAGGGTAATTATGTCAACATGAAAATATTTAAATTTCATTCCGTAGTATTCCTAAAATTACAACCAAATAAATTAATCAATTTTCTTGTTCATTCTATTACCATTACCATTCTCCTATTGCAACCAAACGCGCCTTCCCTATTTTTAATATCACAAATGTTTATTCTTTTTATTATGAGAATAAATCGAATACTCATGTCACATTTAGATGAGAATTAAGGAACTTTGATCATCAGTGGAAAATTTAATGTTATGCATTTTTTAAGACAAAGTAAGATCATATATAAAAAATATACGATAACATATAATCACATTGTCAATGTGACGTAGGCGTGTTTGGTTCATTGGTTCAAATTTTGTTGATTTGAATTTTTTATTTGAACAGAAAAATTTGAACTCTGTTGTTTAAATTGTAGCTCAAATTTATGTTTAGATATGCCGTTAAAATTTTAATCTGAACATGGAAGAAAATTTGAATTTGTGTTTGGTTTTTAAAAACAGATGGGGTGGATACTTTTTTACTATTTAAAAATGGTTTGAACGGTTGAACCTAAAGGAAGCTAAACTTTAAGTTTGATAGTTTAACTTAGTTCAAATGGAAAATATAATTTGAACGGTGTGCTTTGCAGTGCATGTAGGAGAGAGAACCAAGACAAAAATATATTATCGACAACGAAAATTGGAGTGGTATTGGGAAAAAATTTAATGAATTTAGGATGATTCTTAGGAGGAAATACTAAACTTCCATTTTAATTAAGGTCGAACAATTCATCAGTTCAATCTTCACACGACACGGATAAAATCTCAATTTTAGAAAACCTATCAATGAAAAAACTAGTTGGCCGCCATGCACGAGTGTTTCTCCTTAAATAGTTGTAATGGAGGAAGGGAGAGGAAAGACGGTGCTAGAGGTTAAGGAACAGAAGAAAAGTCACAAAGAGGATAACTAGGGTTTCATAGTCGATGGTCAGAGAGAACCAAACAACGTTATGGCCACCAACCCTTGTAGGTTTTTTTTTTTTTTTTTTCCCAACTGGTTTAGTCAGTGTCACTTGGACGTTGTCATTTAGTTTCGGTTATGTTGAACAACCCTAATTTTAGAGAGCATGGCTCAATACCATGCAATATATGACTCACTTCGTGATGGAGTTCCGTTTTTGTTTACCGATTCATCTAGACTCAAAACACTCGCATGTGAAATTCTATCAAGTATTATTGCGTCTCAAAGTACATAATCGTGACCTTTCTCTCCCTCCTTTATAAATGTCAATGGTACTTAAGTACCTCAAAGTTTTTCGTGCCTGGTTTGAGCATGAAGGGTTGGACAGGATTGGTAGCTCTTTCCTGGCTACTTAATTCTGGTACAAGACACAAAATGACCAACTCGCCATCACCCGTCCATAGGGAAAAAAAAAAAAAAAAAAAAAAGAAAAAAACCCTTTTAAAGAGGAGGAATTTGAACTCAGTATTTTTTTTTATTGAAAGTTGGACGTGGATATACCACTAAGCCTACAACCATTAGTTGTTTTGTTTAAATATAAATCTTGTCTTTATATATTAAATACATACTAAAAATGGGGCAACCGTATCCATGATCCAACTCAATATTAACATCTATAATTCAAATTTATTTCTTTGTCATGTCTTTATTTACTTTTCAGCTACAACATTATAGTTTATATCTCCAGTTTACTCTTTCTCATTTTTTTTTTTTTTTTGTTTTTAAGGCACCTCCAGTGTAGGTTGGGCGTTTGCAGTTTTTAATTTTAAAAAAAGTAGATTCCAACCTACCCGAGTGGGGCGCCACCAGTTCAGTCACGCACTAGCAACCATCTCCCCCATGCCCCTTTTACCACCCACCAAAATTCATCCTCTTGGTTTAATATTGGTACGAAATTATTTAATAGGAATAAATACCCTTTTCCTCGATAAAACCCACGAGAGTCGTCAAGCATATTTATATTTATATTTATATTTATATTTATATATTTATTAGGGAGGTCTTACTCTTTCTTCCAATTACACCTCTTTTTACTTCTTTTTTTTTTTTCTTTTTGTGAAATCTTTATAGTGCTTGTATTGTAGAAGAGCTACGTAGGGAAAAAAAGGTAACCACACAAATAGAAGCATAGAAAAAAATCACCCAACGGATTATTGCCTTTTCAATCTTTCCCCCTTCTTTTCAGTTTTCTCAAAACAATATTAACATTTACGGAAATAAAATGTTAAGGATAAAACGATCGTACTTTATGCTGCCACCCCCGGGACGGACAAAAGAGGAGGGAGAGAAAAAGGCTGAATGACATTTTATTCTTAATAAAAATTACACTTGGCAATCTAATATCTCTATACTTCTCCACGATGTATAATTGTATATTACTGGCGTCTCTATCAAATCGCAAAAGGAAACGTAGCAGGATTAAAAAGGAAATTATAATAACAAGGTGATCATTTATTTCCTTTTTTTTAATGAGGAAAATTCATTTAATAATTAAGTTAATATAGATTTTAAAATAGTCACAAATGATTATTAAATACAAAGATATTCGACTATGAATAAAAACTAGATCCATCAATAAAGACGAATGGGACACAAAGATGAATGCGAGTGCCGAGTCATAATGAGAAAAGTTTCGCTGGGCACATTAATAATCTAGTGTGACAAAGGCTCGTTTAACAAAACCACTACAGTTTATAGATAAAACCAATCAACCGAGACTAAATGACTCATAGCATTAAGGTCACTCACAACACTGTATAAGATCAAACCTAACGGGATAAACCTATCACCACTATAAAAGGGTGGACGACAACTTTCGTTATTACAAAAATAAAACATAAAAACTAAAACGGCGGAATAAACATCACCTTTATTACATCAAAATAAAACTAGAAATGAGACAAAAAAATTCCTCAGTTGCACAAATAAGATTATCGGCAATAAGTTGGCCACCAAAACCATAAAAGATAGATCAGCGGGGATCTATGTGACTCCACGTACAACTCTAACCTTCATGATCATCATGATGAGACGAGCGAGATCCTGAAGTTGTAAGGATGCTGGAGATCCGGCATGCACATATGGTCGACTAAAAACAAGTACCTCCTATCACTTCCCTCTGTCTATGAAGTCGCCACTACCACCATAATTATTGTCATGAGACTTAGAGCCATTCTTTAAGGTCGAGAGTCTGACATCCAATTAAAGAGCGACACAACTACGATCCTATAAAGGAAAAATGAGAGGCGCAAAAAGAAAAGAAAGAAATCCTAAAAAGAGAAATGGAGGGAGAGTTACAGATCCGAAATAATTTCCTTTTTGATTTTACTGAACTTATAAACAATAAGAAAGCTCATTTTCCATTTTCATATTTCTAGGGGTTAGTGTTTTACTATTATAGGAACTTTTTATTTCCTTTTTTTTTATTTCAGTTGCCAAATACGACTTTCTTGGACCCATTTTTTGTTTCTCTCACTTTCTCTCTATTTGAACTTTTAAACCATGAAAATAGTTTGAGAACTGGATTATAAGAACGAAAT